CCAGTGGAGGGGACAATTGCCTGTACATTCCAACCACTCTGTTTATCGGGGTATTAAACGGGAGGCTGCAGTTGGTTTCCAGAATTCTTTCCCGCAAAGTCCGTATTGCACTGTCTACCTAGGTGGGAGAATAAATCCAGAATGTTTGTCCTGATACAGCCTGAAAAACCCTGCAAGTCAAAACCCCCCAAATAGAACTTTCTGGTATTGTAGAAAGCATTCACATCTGTCTAATATTGTATTTTCCTGGCAGCCGTGAGATGATTTTGCCCGCCCCCCGGTCAATCTGCATTCTTGTCTTAGTGATCAGCCCACAGTGCCCCTGGTTGGACAGAACTATTGCCCCATCCAACTCCACCAAACCTATGGCGACAAGCACCAGCGTTTATAGCAATATACAAATAGGCTTAAAATTTCCTCTCTCCAGGAGCAGCACAAATATATACACAAACAAAAAACCTAGAATGGACAGACAACAAGGAAAGCTTAGAATCAGCCAGGAAATGGTCAGCGGGGATTCACTCATACCTCACTAGGTGGGACACAAAGATTAGTTATGCCTCACTGGGGTATTGGGGATTTCTCTGCACACCCCTCCTAAAAAAAAAAATGTTCTGTACCTAAACTGATGACACATGTCTTGCTAGAGTTATAAGCCAGTTCAGACCATCTGAGAAACAACCAAGTTCAGCAAAATCATGCCTCAACACTATAAACAGCTAAATACTAAAATGAAAATAGACACGAGACAGCTGAATAGTAATCAGTAATAGCCATTTTGAGGTGTATAGAATCCGGTTGAATATAAACCAAAACTGGAATGTCTATGAAAAAGTCACAGGATGCAGTTGAGAACCTGCATTTTCCTATTAACATATTGGTTAATCAATACCATGTCAATTAATGCCATAATGTTGTAAATTGTTGTTGATGTTATCTTGGGGCTTTTAATTGATTGGGATAATACTTTGCCGGCTTTACCTTCAGACCAGAGATGGTCTCATCAAGAAATCGTTGAAGTCACTAGGATAATAAGATGCTGGACTTTATGCTTGGTAAATACTTCTAATGAAAGAACGTCAACTGAATTTGAACTATGGTAATGCAACAAGGTGGAGAAATCCACCATGGGGAGAGGGTTCGGGGAGGGGTGGGGGGGAATCCCAGTGCCTATAACACTGTGTCACATAATGCAATACAATTTAAAAAAATAAATAAAATAAATTACAATTAAAAAAATTTTGTTATCATAAAAAAAAACTTGGGGAGGAGAGAAGATTAAACTCACAGCTATGTGTTTTGTAGCACTTCTTGATACCTTGGCCTGGTTCTTACCACTGAGGCCTCTTAGGGGCTCCTGCAGGTATTTGTCAAGTACATTCTCATTGTACTTAGGTTCTGCCACTTCCTGTTATGGCCCCATGGCACACAGCAATCCATAAAATGGCTCTATTCCTTCTGTACCTGTTGTGTGTGTGTATGTGAGTGTGTGTGTGAGTGTGTGTGTGTGTGTGTGTGTGTGTGTGTGTGTGTGTGTGTGAAGTGCTTTGTCCAGAAGGCCTATGTGGGGCAGCCCATGTTTTCCTGTGGCTCTGTCCTGGGTACTGTTTCGTGTGGGCCTACTGGTGGCCTTTGACGATGTTGGCAGGGCAGTCTGGACTTGGGCTGCACACCGCCCTGCCCTCCTGGACTCCTGCTACCTCCTTGTTCTTAGGTGCTACTCAACAGTGTTTTTGATAGCCATGGAGTCTTACATTGATTTGTAACGGGAAACCTGTAGTCTCTGGGGCCAGAGCACATCCATGTTGTGTGGGTCATGTTCTTGTTTACACCTGAGTAAGCTGAGACCTGCCGAAGTTATAAAGTACAAGAACTCCAAAACCTGAAACGTAGAATGAGGCTTGCAGTTGGTCCTTCTGTGAAAAGACTTTTCATATCATCTCCAGGCCATGCGGTGGGTATGGGTGTTAGGGGAAAAGCAAGTTCAGGCCCAAGTCATGATGAGTATGCAGTCGGGGCCAGAGTGCTAAGCCTTTGAGAATCTTTGGATTTGGTGATTCTTGGGCTGAGTTCTAGAGCTCAGGTCAGGTGAGTCACCCAGGACTCAGGACATCCCACGGAGAGGTTGAGTCTGAGACAGGTACTCACAGCTGCATTTGCTGGCTGCAAACCTAGAGGAGGCAGCTCAGAGAGCATTGCTGGTGCTTTCTCATCATGAGGGCAACGAAAGCAGTGATACTCGGCTAGGCGCTGCGCTTGCCTCTGCTGCAGGTTGTATGCTAGCGGCAACAAACTGTAACCTGTTCCTCCTCATTATTGCAGGGGTGCTAGGTCGTTGAACTCTACAGGCACCAAGAAACTCTTTATGGTCTTTAAAGAAAGTGTTCCTCACCAGGCAGAAAGACTGGGCTTGCCAAATGCCAGTCCCCTCTGTCAGGGCACTTTACAAATGTGGTTCACACTTGACATTTTATGGAAACTAACCCAATAGTACTCCAGTCTTATTGCTAAGATCTGTGCTGTTTTGATGGTGATGAGTATTCTCTGGCTAATAAAGATTTTTCATTAATCTAGAAGTTTCAATCCTTAATGTTTTACTGAATCAGTCACAAATACAAATCGGCCATCTACTGTAAGGATAAGGCCTTAGCAGGAAACATAGATGCTCTCAAAGTGTTGATCTTTATGCACGAAACTGAGAATAAATTGTAAAATAATTCATGTGAGATTTAAGCACTAAATATTCAGACAGCGTCCACACTTGCTAGAAGACTTTGAACAAAAGAAGGATTGGCCAAAGTCAGGGAATGTGTTTGGGGAGAAAGGTGAAACCATTTCTGAGCAGGACTTTGAGAGGTAAATAGAATTTAAATCAGCCATCTCCCCTCATTGCTGGGTGCTAAATCCCAAGACCCTCAGTGGATGCCTCAAAACCATGGATGATTCTGCACCATATATGTACTATATGAACATATATGTGTATGTATGGCTGTGTGTCCTTCTGAACAGCCATACCTATGATGGGACTCAATTAATAAATCAGGCAAAGCAATAAATGGACAGTGATGACTAATCAAACAGAACAATTAGAACAATATACTTTACTTATACTTGTAAAGTTATTTAAAAGTCATTAAAAATTACTTCTGGAATATTCAATGTAGTGTTTTCTTACTGTGAATGACTTCTGGTAGCTGAACCTACAAAGCAAAATCACAGATAAAACTGTAGGCAAGGCAAAGGGGTAGGGAGGATGTCTTTGTACTCCTGTGTAAAGGAGAGAACATCACCAGCAGAGAGGTTGACGCAAAGGAAGGCACAAAGGCAGAAGTAGCCACTGACTGGCTCCATGGCAGAACTAGGAGACTGACCTCATTCCATAGACAGCTTACAGTGAGGACAATGCTAAGAAACTTCAGAAGGAAGGGCCTGAGAGCCAGGCAAGGGCTTTACACTTAGCATGAGCCTGGGAGAACAGGCTCTGCTTAGTGGCCAGCCAGTGGATGTGGTTTCCAGAGGTGATCCCCCCATGTTATACTTGGAGGAGAGTTGGTGTAGGGAATTGCGCAGCTCTGCCCTATAATGGTATGAACTTAAACTGAGAAAGTCAAGTGGACATGACAGCATTTCAACAGAATCTAATCTGGGTATTTCTGGCCCCAGCATCCATAAAGTTGGAATCTGGTTTGTTTTTCATAGTAGGAGCTGACCCAAGGCAGAGCTTGTTGAGCTCTAAGTGATACTGAGAGCTTTAAGGGGGGAAATGACATTAGAATGATCATCATGCTGAATTGCAACAATATCACAAGTTACACTTATGTGAGACACTTATGCACCATGCTAGCTGTCTTGGAAGAAACACAGAAATTGAGGTGTTCAAAACAGTGACAGTATCTGAACGTAGAAATGTGTGTGAAACTTAAGGGAAAAAGCTGAGGTCTGACAACTACAAGACAGAGCTATGTGTAGTGGGCTACTTCTGTGAGCAAGTGTTGAAGACAGCCTACATGGGATAGCAAAGGAGGGAGGGAGATGGGAGATGGAAAGTTGGGGCAGACGGTTGATTTGGCCTTTTGGACAGGAGTGTGTGTGTGTGTGTGTGTGTGTGTGTGTGTGGTGGGGGGACTAAGTTGCATGGCACCTATTTGGGCAGAGTTTAAAAGCTGAGATCAATACAGGCACTTGTGAGAATCAGAGGACTTCCTTGTTGCCTTCTCCCACCTGGTCCTAGCTCCATTTCTTTCCATCAGTGGCTCTTACCCTTACGAGTTATTGAAGGAGGTTTGTTCCATGAAGAGCTGGTGTATGACTGCTGTCTATGACCCTGGGGTTTATCTGCCCTTAACAAATGACCCTAAATTCCTGACCAAGATTATTATGCATGAAATATCCAGTTTCTAAAGCAATGGGTATTCAGATGAATTGAATTACTTAAAAAGAAGAGAGAGAAAGATGTATTTTTCAGAGAATATCACATTCAACTTGGTATTTAAAAAGCTTAAAACCATTTTGATAATTCACGTCTAACAATTCCCTGCCAGCATTTTTTTTCCTGAATAGTTTTAATGACTTTGGTAGTTCTTGAAACAGTTGCTATCAAGAGAATTTTAAAAATATTAGTCTCTTTTCTTCTGTTCTGGCTCCCTTGGGAACCAAATGCTAAAATCTGTTTCCATAACAATCTTTCCTATTTTCTTGCAAGAATGTCTACTTGCTATTTTTGGGTTACTAAGGTTGAGTTGAGCTTTTTTATGATAAAAAAAAAAACTATCACTCTTCAGTGTGTGTTTTACAAAGGCAAAGCCTTTCTATAGCATTACTGAGGAATGAAGCAAGGAGTTGGTGTCAAGGGATATGAACATACAGTGGAGGTCACACCTCTGTAAGCCTTGCATACATGTGCTCCCTAAGCACATCCATGTTTTCCATGCAGTTTTCAGAGAGACAAATGGCGTGTGGACTTTGTTATGAACTCATTTTTAAATGGTCTCTCGTTCCAGTGTTGTGGGATCCGCAGTGACCTTCAAGGTGAATGCCAATGTCCACAATGTGACCACTGCTGACATTGCCAAGACCACAGGTAAGGCTGTTCGCGCGCACATGCGTTGCTGGGGCAGAGAGGCCATCAGTTCAGAACAGCCCAGAGGAAGGCATGTCTTTCCCTCTCCCAGGGCTGGCGTTGCATGCAGGGTAACATCCGAGTTAGTTATCACTTCCTGGTACCTCGTTGTTTGGGGAACTGGGTTGCTGGCATGAATGGATTTGGCTTCTGATCCAAGATAGGAGACCACAGCACCGTGTTTGAGAGGAAAATGGCGAGTTTTGGAAACACGTAGATTTTGTCTTAGTGGAAACCCCAAAGTGAACAGAGAAAATGCAATTCTTGCTTTGAGGTTTGTTTTCATTTTCTCCAGGCCAGAAGCACAAATTGCCTCTGCTTCTGTCTATGGTAGAGACCTAGCACAGGATCTGGAGGCTTGAATATAAATGGAGTCACTTCAGATAGTGTCTCGGCATTCCTGGCCACACGATTTTGAGAGCTGTTTATTGACAAAGCTTGGATGAGCCTTGTCTGACAGGTGGTTTCTGCCATTGATTTGAAAACAAAGCTCTATGATTTCTCGAAGAATCGATGGGGTGGTGGATATCATTGCTCAGTCGTCTTAAAGCGGGTGTTTCTTTTTTGTGTGTGGTACCATCTTTCTGTGTAGTGAGAAAAATACTGAAAACAGAACAGAACCTTAGCTTGATGGCTTTTGGTCTTTGGTTTGACTCAGCATTTTATAATTATTTCTATTGTGCTTTACAGTCCTTTGTAAGAGAACTGTTAAGTGCATGATCCTAGAAATAACAGAACATGACTCTCCTTTCAGTCAATCGTTTATACTGCAAAACTCGTGGACCAGTTTTTGCTGAAGTTTATTCCAATACAAAATGCAGCAACACATTCTTACTGGCTTAGCTGTTTGAATATTTAATTCATATGAATTGAGGCTTCACTATTCTTTATCCAACAACCCTGAGCAAGGCATAAACTGGCTGCTATCTTCTGTTAAATAGGATTACTTGTTCTTATCTAATTTGGTTGCTATTGGTTTTACCTACAGGGTATTTTCCTGTCTTTTTAAACTGTTATTTGGTGAGAATTTTGACAAGGATGGAGGGGAGGGGTACTAAGTATTTTTGGGTGAAAAAGTATTCTTTGCAAAGTTGTAGCTTTGCAGAGAGCTGGATCCTCCAGGCTTCCCGCCGTCATCCCATCTTATGGAAAGACATGTGGAGCTGGTTGCAAGAGTAGAGTGGTCAAGTGTGATTGATGGAGCCAAGCAGCAGAATGTGTCCACAGCCGAAGAAGTAAGGAAGTCAGTAGCTTGCATTCTGGAAAGAGAGGGAATTCCCTGCCAATAGCATTGGCTGCTTGGGGGCTCCAGGCTCTTGCCTTCCCCACACACCATCCGCTTCACCTCTAACCAGTTCTTCAACATATGTGATCATTGAACACATTTAGTGCCAAATCTGTTACCAGGCTTTGATGCAAAAATGCGTAGAGCAGTTGTTCCTTAAGTGACATTTACTCCCAGTAGTGAAGAATAATGCTTTTGAAATTGAATTCGCTGGAATGTAAAGATATTTGGGAATAAAATGGAATGCAATGTAGTTTTTAGAAACTTTTGTTTCGAATCATGACAGTATACCCAGATTATAATCTTTCATTTATGTAATTGTTTTCTAAACAAAATAAGATTATTTGAAATCTAATTCCTTTGTCATTCAGATATGTTCATAGCAATTATTAAGATACTGTACTAAGAAGGAAATTCATACAAAATGTATATTTGTATTTTACAACAATAATTTTTAAGTATGAAATTACTTAATGGTAGTACATTTATATTTATATTAACTGTTGTGGATATGAAAGCCAGAATAGTTCTCACTTGTGTATATGAAAAATGTTGCCACATACTCATGATTTTAAAATTTTCTTCTTCTCGTGTTTTGAATAGTTCTATGGTGTTAAGACTATACCCACTACAAAATGGGGAAAGGATTATAAAACACTTACAGATTGACAGAACTACCTAGGTGCAGTAGGTCTCTGGTTCCAAAGATTTGCTCACATGCTGTCAACGAAGAATTCTTTACTGCAAAGCAATTGCTTGTGGTTTCTAGCTCGAAAAGGAGGCATGGAATCCCACCAGTGTCATCGTGAGATAGCCAGTGCTATTGTTGAGGCAGAAGCAATTTGGAAAGACAGTGGGAATGTTGTCATATGTGTCACTAGCATCCAAAACTTAATAGAGCCATCTTTTGATGTTGCTGGGGCTATTATATGCTGCCTGCATCTGAGTTGCCTGAAAATCCAATGCATACATTTGGTTCCTCCAGGGGCGTAATGCCACTTTGCCATGGAGATCTTTTGTTATTATTAATTAGAGGAGATAGGGCTCTGGTAATAGAATTTAAATGGTATTTGCTTTGCTAATTTTACACAAGGTATTATAAAGCTGAATGAATAGGCATATAGCTATTACCACACTGGCCCCCTATACTTCATATGGCATTGGTGTCGAGTGATGATGTATGTGGCTGTTTCTCATAATTCAGAATCTTTTTGCTATCCTAGGCAATTATTTTCTGGGAATTCTGCCTAATTTTTGAACTTGAATGTTAGCAAATATGAACCTTCAGTGAATATTACGTAAGAGGCACTGACTGTGGGGCACAGTGCATAGAAGAGTGGTAGCTGCGTTTGGTCTTTGTGGCTACATCATCCAAACTGGGCAGAACAGAAAAGTGTTTTTCACCCTCCATTTCCTTGGTAGCTTATTTTCTGTGGTATATTTATAATGAATTGTTGCATTTCTCCTTTCAAAGAAAATGGAATCAATCATCTTTCAGAGAAGTGTTTGCTTTCTCTCCCCTTCCCATTCTATAGAGATCCCCACTTAATAGTCTTTTGGGTTCCCTTTGATTTATTGCCAATAACTACCCTGCATGCCCTGCTGTGTTTGCTGCATAGCCCGGGAGCAGGTTATTTATTCAAACTTTTCCTCTTCTGTCTTCCAGAAAGTTGCTGTTTCTTGCATTTGGCACCTGTCTGGGATGTGTTTGACTCCTTAGCTAAGCATTTAGTCTGTGAGCTGATCTGTCCTTTGCTGCCTGTCCCTCTCTTCAATCGGACACGTGCTTCACTCTGCCCAGTTGAGCCTCAGGGCCAGGCTCTTGGTTGCCAATCTTTGTTTCAGCTTGTTGGAAAGATACTGCCTGTCCCAAATATTAGGGTGACTTTATAACATTATTCTTGGATCAGGTCTGGTTCCTTAATTTCTTAGTTTAGCCTGTTGAACATATTCATGAAATTAAGAGGCCCTACCCAGGTTCTCCTCTCACTGTAATGCTCTTCCTGTGTTTTGTGGTTTGGCGTTCACAAGGTGTGTTGTCTATGCAGAGGGAAATGCCTCATCTTTTACCTCATGGCACTTCTGTTAGATGCTGGCTTGGGACTAGCTGGACCCCTAGCCCAATACATCCAGTCTATGGGTTTGATTAGAGCACTGTCTGCCAGAGGTAGGAATACTTAACCTTCTGTGATGGAGGTACAACAGAAAAGTTAACTCTCATTTAAAAATGTATAATGGGCTTGCACATCATAAAGTGAGTCCTTCTATGACTCAGCTTTACAGTGTTACTGGTTTTAACTCTTGATTCCAAATATCAGTGTTTTCCAGCTCTAGTGTGCCTGCACTCCTCTCCTCTCCTCTCTCCTCCCCTCCCTTCCCCTCCCCTTCTCTCCTCTTCTCTTCTCTCCCTTCCCCTCTCCTCCCCTCCCCTCCCCTCCCCTCCCCTCCCCTCCCCTCCCCTCCCCTCCCCTCCCCTCCCCTCCCTTCCCCTCCCCTCCCCTCCCTTCCCCTCCCCTCCCTTCTCTCCTCTCCTCTCCTCTCCTCTCCTCTCCTCTCTTTACCTTGCCTCGTCTCTTCTCCTTTTCCTTCTTCTCTCTCTCTCTGTGTAGTTCTTCCTTTCAAACAGATGGATAAATAGACAATGTCAAAAAGAGAGAGATCTATCTATTAGATATTTATCTATCCATCAGAGATTAGAGAAATATGTACTGTAAATGTGGAAATTGTGGGGTTTTTTTCTTTAATGGAAAGTAAGGAGTACATTTGGAAGTGCTTAGAAGGAAGTCCACTTGCTAGGAAAGTTGTACTCATTAATGGGTGAATGAGAAAACTGTTAAAAACTTAATAACAGCCAAACCCTGTAAGGATCTGTACTCTTTTAGGTGAATCAGTTACTTTTCAGGCAGTTCAGACCAGAGCAGCAGGAGGCCCAGCCAGGTGCTCCTGACTCGGAGTCCTGTCTTCCTCCTCAATGTCAGGCTGGGAATAGCGTCAGGGCCTGGGGTGGCTGAGGCTTTCCTTGGGCTGCAGATGACTTACGTTGGCAGTAATCATATTCAACTTGCTGCTTTGGAGCAGTGCCTCTGTGGATCTGGCAAAGCTTGACTGGCTTAGGGTGTCAGAGCAGATGGGCAAGGGAAATGCCCAGAACAGGAGCCTGTCTTTATATCTTCCTCTTGGGACATGGCCAACCCCTCATTCACTATGTTAATAGTGAACAGTGAATAGTGTAGGCATCCATCAGGTGTTTTGAATATGTGAAGAAGAAGGCAATGGGGAAAGTTAGGAAGGTCCAAGGGGAATAGGCAAAGAACCCAAGTAGGGAAGACAGGCCACGGCGAAACAGGCGGGGCAGAGTGGTCGGCTTGGGCTGAGGGAGTCAGCCTAGCTCCCAGCTGAGACCACTAGCATTTTGAGACATGTAGTCCGTGGTGTTGAACTCTGAAAGAAAGACTTTTGAAAGAATAGATCTGCTTTTCAACTGTTTCGTATCGATTATTACTTGAAAAAAAAGTTTACTTTCTTTATTTAACTTCACTGATAGATTATAAATTTCAAAAGCAAAGTGTAGGAGAGAGTTCTCACATCAGTTTGAACATCCTAGAAGAAAGTTCTCCCATTCTGTAGTCTACAGAATAAGAAATCATTCCTTTGAAGACATCAGTGTAGTTGTCAG